TGATTATACCTACTCATAGAATGGTGAGACTCAAGCAAGGTTCTAATATAAAGGCACATGTACATGTATGTTCACTGCAGCACTCTTCACAATAGCAAAGACATGGAATCAACATAAATGCCCATCAATGGTGGAATGGATAAAGAAAATGTGGTAGATATATACCATGGAATACTATGCAGCCGTAAAAAAAGATGAGATCATGTCCTCTGCAGCAGCATGGATGGAGTTGGAGGCCAGTATCCTAAGTGAACAACACAGAACAGAAAACCAAATACTGTATGTTCCCCTTATAAGTGGGAGCCAAACATTGAGCACACGTGGACACAAAATAGGGAACAACAGGCACCAGGGCTGACTTGAGGGTGGAGGGTGAGAATTGAGAAAATACCTCTCAGGTACTATGCTTATTACTTGGATGACAAAATAATCTACACCAAACCCCCATGACATGCAATTTACCTATGTAACAAACCCACAAATATACCCCTGAACCTAAAATAGAAGTTGGAAGGAAAAAAATTTATTGCACCAATGGAAACAATAAAATCTACAATTTGAACATTTATTTAAATAGCTGGACCTGTCATCAGAACAACTCTTGATGCTTAGTTAAGCATCCAGAGCTACCTAAAGAGAACCTGAGGTTTAAGAACACTGATGAGTTATCAAAGCCCTACTTTGAAAAGTACAAATATATGTTAAATATTATATACATATATATAGACACATTTTAAAGAATTGTAAAATGCACACTTGTGTACTTAAAACCAAGAAACTGAATAGCAACACTGAAGCACCCAGGGCTTCTCCTGTATTGCATTCTTTCCTATTAAGTAATCACCAGCCTATGTTTTGAATTATGCCTATGCTGTCACTGTTTTGCCACACCACATCTTCTATAATATTGTTTTCTTGTTTGTTTTTGGCCATATGTAAATGGCATATGTAGAGACGTGGACACACATCCCCTTTGATGACTTAGTTTTTATCTTTAACACTCTATTTGATATTGGTTCCCATTGATGCTTGTGCCTGTAGATCACATTTACTCCTTTACAATATTCCATTGTATGGAAATATTCATTTTGTCCATTCTGTTGGTTGGCCTTTGGGTTGTTTTCAGCTTTTTTTTTCAGGTACAAATAATGCTTCCATGAACATTCTTGTAATTGTTTATTTGGTATATTTGTACCAACATTTCTTTAGGGTGAAACTATGAATTGAAACAATAATACCTTAAAACTTATTACATAATAAGTTATTTTCCAAGGTGGCTCTACCAATTTACACTCTTACTATAATTTCATGAAAGTTCTTGTGGCACTGTCCTCACCGTTTCTTATCAGATTTGTAAATGTTACCATGTGGTTTTAATTTGCATTTCTCTATTTTCTTCTAAAACTTTAAAAGTTTTGCCTTCATTTAAGTCCTTGACTCATTTAAATTTGACTTTTGTGTATGAAGTTATATATACACCTGTCGTTTTGAAAATGTCCTTATATTTCTCATATTAAGAATTTTCAAAGATTTTTCTTCCCCCTTATCTCAATCCCCATCCTTTATGAAGAGACTCAGTTGATTAATCAAAGGATATAAACTCATACAGAACTCCAGAGATGTACATTTTCTAAAGAATATGGTGAGTTTTTCTGGACGTAGAACAAATACAAATGAAAATAATAACAAATACTATTTTGGGCCTCACAAATTACCAAAATATATTCTTACTCAGGCTAATTAATCCTAGTGAGAGTGTTGTAAAATGAGAATTGTTATACACAGTAACTTTTAGTGGTGCATACAATCCTTTTGCAAAGGTAATTTGAGGCAAACTGCATTGAAGGCTTTAAGAGTGTCCACAATTTTTGAATAAATCTTAATGAAATCTATCCTATAAAAATAACTTTAAAATCATAAAGAACGTGCTAAGATATTCATTGCAGTGTCTGTATGTATATCTTAACGACTTTTGAGCTATTGCCATTTTGCTATATATGTATGGATATATGTAATTGTCCCCTTTAAAAATTTCCTGTTTTTTCCAAAACTAATTTTCTGAGTTTGTCCTTCATATATGATAGAAATATGTAATTTATAAAAATATAAACATAAAATTTTATTATTAAAAGTACTCAGCTCATTGGAGCTTATCAGCAGCAAATGATAGAACACAGATATTATTTATTGAAGCTGTACATTAGCTTCTGACAACTGGATCATGGAATTGTTGCAGCTTGGGTGCACCTCACTGCTAGCCGTAGTTTCAGAGTAATGTGCAAAAATGGAATCCTAGAAGCTATGGAAAAAGCTTCATTGCATTAACTGAAAATCTTCTCATGTTTCAAAAGATAAAAAATAAAATATATAAAGACAAGAATTCAGTAGAACACTTTGTATAAAAACAAGCTGCAGTCCAGTACTCCTATTTGTTGACATCAAATAAAGGTGAGACTATTCGGAATTCTGAAACGAGCTAACCTCACTCTGTAACTGGATATTACCGAAATGGTTATTAGTGAGCTGTAGGAGGAGTGCAGAAGAAACTAGTGTTTGTTGAGTGCCTGTATGTGCCACGTATTTTAAAACTTTTATTTCACTAATCTTTATAATGACCCTGCCAAGTAGGTAGTGTGAGTTCTACTTTACAGGTGAAGAAATGAAAACTCATGGAGTAACATGACCAACCTTAGCACAGTCCCTGACATACAGTAAGTGCTTAATGAATATCTTTTGAATAGATAGTAGGCAATATACCTAACTAATGGAAGAGCCAGGATTCAAACTTAGATCCATCTCATTGCATAGCTCACACGATTTCCATTATAGTACATTGCTTCTGTGTGAGACGATACAGAATCATTTTTAAATGGCTAAGAAAAAGCACTGCCAATGTAAACATGGCTAGTAGGTCCAGCAACCTATGATTTCGCCCTTTATATCAGAATAATGTCAATTTTAAAATGTATGCATTGTAAAGGATGGGAAAAGACAGAAAACAGGAACTTCAAGGGCTTTACAGTTAACACTGATAGTACATGAAAATAACATAAATATGAAAATGTCATATGTATATGGAACACTTTATTAGTTAACACAGCTCATCCATTTTTTTTGTTGAATTCTGCTGGCTTAAAAATTTATTTTACTTTCAGTTCTGGGATACATGTGCAGAACGTGTAGGTTTGTTATATAGGTATACATGTGCCATCGTGGTTTGCTGTACCTATCAACCCGTCATTTAGGTTTTAAGCCCTGCAAGCATTAGGTATTTGTCCTAATGCTCTCCCTCCCCTGGTCCCCAACCTCCCTGGCCAACAGGCCCTGGTGTGTAATGTTCCCCTGTGTTCGTGTGTTCATATTGTTCAACTCCCACTTACGACTGAGAAAATGTGGTATTTGGTTTTCTGTTCCTACCATTTCCCTGCAAAGGACATGAACTCATTTGTTTTCATAGCTGCATAGTATTCCATGGTGTGAATGTGTCACGTTTTCTTTATCCAGTCTATCATTGATGGGCATTTGGGTTGGTTCCAAGTCTTTGCTACTGTAACATTATCTGAAAAGCATTACTTTAATTTTATGACTGTTAGGTGTTATGCCTCTTGTCCTTTTTTGCCCCACACATCACTGAAACAGATTATTTGAAAATGCTAAAGTAAGTAGAATGTGTGGCATGCTTTCTTAGATGCTTTGTATCATGTACCAAAATAATTTAAAAATACAAAAGTTGAAAATGATTTTATTAGTTTTTCATGCATAAATCCAAACATACATTTTTCTTTAAAAAATTCTACCAACATATTTAAAATATTTCCCTTAAAAACATCATCCAAAATGTATTTTAATTTTTATGAATGTTAGGTGTTACGTCTTTTCTTTAACGCTTTCCTTTTTTATCACATGCTTACACCAAAACCAAATAATTTAAAAATGCTAAAATAAATAAATTGTGGCATGTTTTCTTAGCTCTTTTGTATCCTATTATAAAATATTTTACAACTGTGAAAGTTGAAAAATAACTTTGTTGGTTTTGCTGCATATAACTGCCTATATAGTATAAGAGAACTAATCTATAATATTAAGGCATTTTGTTATTTCAATATAGAGGGTTAAAAATATAAAAGTATTGTAAAAACCCCAAGATGACTCCTTTAAAGTAGATGCACATTAAAATATTATAGATCTGGCATATTTCATATTTTTAAAGCAGACAAAAAGAATGTTTATCTTCGGATTTGGCAAGAACATCTTCCAGATAACTATCTGCCACTTTTCAAAGCATTATTATTGGGTAGGTTTTGTTAGGGGAGAGGACTTAGAAAACATGACTTTCCTCATCCAAAACCAAAAATAAATGAGGGCTTTAAAATGTTATTTAGGAAGATAGTGGCCAGAAATAAAGATCATGACCAACAAGCTTTGGGGCCATCAAGATGAAGAGACCTTTGCTTTATTCAAGATCTAGGATCTGAAAATCTTACTTGATAAATTTAACTGGATTTTTCTTTTCAGATTATGTTTAATCCCAAACTTTGGTTGTATACCATAGCAATTTCTATTTTATCTGGATGTTAAAAGAAAAACCACTGGAATCTAAAGAGAGATTAATAACCTCTTGAGCTTAGATGGAAAACTATCCAGTGGCAAATATGTATCTAGTGGGGTAAATACATCTCAAGAGATTCAATACATGACAAAACAAGGTGATTTTAAAAACGCTTTAACCTGAAATTATTTAAAAAGTTATTAAAATGTATTAAATATCTTTCTTAGGGGCTGGTAAAAGAAAAAAACACCTTAACAGACACATGGTTACAATTTCCTCAGAGAGGTAAAGAGGTTGTGACCAGTATCAGCATCTTAAGGATGTCATTTCAGAGCTTGCATTCTTCTGCTCCAAGTAGCTCAAAGAGTTTGAGTGGGTATAGCCTGGTACTAGAGAAAATTTGAAGCAATTTACCTAGTTGGTTGAAAAAGGACTTACGTACCCTTGATTTATTCATTGTTCGTTTACATACATTTTTCTTTAAAACTCTGAAAGGAACATTTGTTTATGCAGTATGATGCGAATGATTTAATGATTTATATGACGAGCTTAATATGGTTGACGTTCAATGAACAAAATAGTAATTTAGTAATCAGAAAAACTTTCAATCCATTTTTACCATATTTTTAAGTGTCTCTTATTAAGCTTGTGATTTTTATTAATGTAAATAAGCCAAAGAGTGATTGTTTTTGACACACTGCATTGTACCATCGCGTAATGGGTAGTCTCCTTCTCAGTTGACTTTCAATACTCGGTACACACTATTCTGAAATACTGTGGTGAAGTAAGGCCTCGCATCGTTGAGCAGGACGCTACATAATGGGGGGTTAGCTGCATTGGTAGGGTCTTCCACATCCCAGATTTCAAGCATACTGCAACCAGGCCTGAAAAAATGATAGACATATATATATCGATACTAGAAATGTATTCCTGTCTAGAGAAAATAGATGTATAACAAAACATCTCCTAGATTTTCAGAGACAAATTTATTTAAATTTGTTAAATATTTTAAAGCATCATTTCAAAAAACATAATTTCAATGTTTAGAAATTTAAAAAGCAGAATGAACTTAAGTATGCTGCATTTTCAAATCTCATTTAACTAAATGAAAGACATATAAAGTTCAACATACATTCATAAATATATATTTTAAAATTCACTTTCAAGATGAAACAAACATAAATATACTTTCCAAGTGCCATCACCATCTAAACATAAGGCCCATTTGTAGTAAAATAAGACAAATTAAAGGAAACCAAATTGAATTCCTGATGAATTTCATATTTTTTATCATGAACTGACTTGGATTAGCATGAAATCATCCAAGGCAGGGATAGGAGACTCATGCCAATTTGTTTTCTTCAATGCTTTCCCATTTTGGGTCATTCTGTGACTGGGCTAAAAGAAACACTATTCCTCCCTAGAGAGTAATCTGCATGACAGTCATTAAAGGGAAAGAGTCAGGCAAAATTGATTTTTTAAAAATTATTTTTTAAATTGCATTTTAGGTTTTGGGTTACATGTGAAGAACATGCAAGATAGTTGCATAGGTACACACATGGCAGTGTGATTTGCTGCCTTCCTCCCCTTCACCTATACCTGGCATTTCTCCCCTTGCTATCTCTCCCCAACTCCCCACCCCCCACTGTCCCTCCCCTATTTCCTCCCAACAGTAAAATTGATTTCTAAGTTTTTAACATCTATATTAAAGTATATGTTATGGATAACAAAAGTCACCTATTTTATGTGTGAAGTGTGACAGGTAGGGGCAAATATGTATAGATGTATAAGCATTACCATAATATACAAAAAATTTCCATCACCCCAACATGTTCCCTTATGCCCTTTTGCAATCTGTCACCTTCCCCAAACATGGCTCCAGGCAACTACTGTGCTCTCTGCACTATTGTTTTGCTTTTCCTAGAATTTCATATAAATATATTATGGAGTCTTTTCATTTTTGGCTTCTTTACCTTAGCATGTTTTTGATATTCAGACTTAAGACATAGTTTCTACAACTTCTGTTGTGGTTCAGCAGTTTCTTCCTTTTTGTTGCTAAATAGTATTTCATTGTATATAGAGAACACAATTTGTTTATCCATTTGCAAGTTAATGAATATTTGAGATGTTTTGAGTTTTTGGTGATCATGAACAATGCCGCTATGAACATTCATGGACAAGGCTTTTTGCTGGGTTTCATGGTTATGTAGGATTAAGTGTGGATTTATCTTTATAAGCAAGTTCAAAACTGTTTTTCAAAGTAGATGCTCCATTTTGCATTTCTACATCCTCACAAACACTAAAGAGCATTCGTTTTTGTAATTTTAATCATTGTAGTATGGTTATGGATGATTGAAAATAACTTCTTTGATGGAATGTCTATTCAAATATTTTGCCAAATTTTGTGTTCTTTCTTATTAAGGTATCGAGAGTTCTTTGTATATTCTGGGTAAAAGTCTGCCAGATTTTTCTTTAGCAGCTGTATTAAGTCATAATTGCTCAATAATTAATAAGCTGCACATATTTAGTATCTACTTTGATACATATTAACATATGTTTACACCTGTAATAGAACAGTCACAATAAAAATCATGAACATATCCATCTCTCCCAAAAGTTTACTTCCACTCTTGTAATCCTACTTTCTTGTCCCAGACAACTCTCCTCTTGAGACAACCATTTATCTGCTATCACTATAGATTTGTTTGCATTTTCCAGAATTATTACATGCTTTCTTTTTTCATCTGGCTTCTTGTCTTGAGTAGAATTATTCTGAGATTCATCCATATTGCTGTATCAATAGTTCATTCATTTTTATTAGTGAGTAGTATTTACATTGTTTGGATATTCCATTAGTATGTTTATACATTCATCTGTTGGTAAATACATGGGTTGTTTCCAGTTTGGGGTGATTACAGAAAACAAGCTGCTATGAACATTTGTTTACAATTATTGGGGTGGATATATGGTTTCTTTTATCTTAATAAATATACATAGTAGTTGTATGTTTAACTTTTTATAAAATTGCCAAACTGTCTTGCAGAGTGGTTTTACCATATTATTTTTGCACCACTGGTTTATAAGAGTTCTAAGTCCTTCATAGTGTCAGCAACACTTGGCATGATCAGTTTTTTTTTCAATTATAGCTATTTTATTAAGTGTTTAATGATATCTCACTGTAATTTTCATTTGCATTTCACAAATCACTAGTAATGTCAAGCATCTTTTTTATGTGATTATTTGCTACCTGTATATTTTCTTTGTTGATGTGTCTGTCCAAGTATTTTGTTCTTTTATTTTTTTTGGAGACAGGGTCTTGCTCTGTCAACCAGGCTGGAGTGCTGGAGTGCAGTGGCATGATCTTGGCTCACTGCAACCTCTGCCTCCCATATTCAAGCAATTATCCTGGCTCAGCCTCCTGAGTAGCTGGGATTATAGGCGCTGACCATCAGGCCCGGCTAACTTTTTGTATTTACTTAGTAGAGTTGGGATATCGCCATGTTGGCCAGGCTGGTCTCAAACTCCTGACCTCAGGTGATCCACCGCCTCAGCCTCCCTAAGTCCTGGGATTACAGGCATGAGCCACCATGCCCGGCCTATTTTGTCCATTTTTAATTGGGTGGTTTTCTTATTATTGGGTTTTGAGAGTTCCTTATACATCTAGAGAGTCCTTTATCAGACATAGGCTTTACAAATATTTTCTTTCCAACTGTGGTTTATCTTTTAATTCTTCCTAACACTGTTTATTAAAAAGCAGAGGTTTACAGTTTTAATGAAATCCTATTTATCAACGTGTTCTCTTATGGATCATGATTATGTTACTGTATCTGAGAAATCTTAGCCTAATACAAGGTTAAAATGATTTTCTTCCATATAAGTTTGCTGACAGTTTTTAATCAGTTATGGATACTGAATTGTGTCAAATACTTTTTCCTGAATGTACTGAGATGATCACGTGCTCTTCTTTTTCAGTTTGTTACTATGGTGAATTCACTTGGTTGATTTTCATAGTGAGACAATTTTGCATTCCTGCGATAAAATCTACTTGTACGTTATGTGTTATCTTTATTTAATATATTGCTGGATTTATTTGTTGCAATTTTACTTAAAATTTCATGTATGTGTTCATAAGAAATTTTGAGTGGTAGTTTCCTTTTACTGTAATGTTTGTCTTATATTGGTATCAGCATAATTCTGACCTCACAGAATCAGTTGGGAAGTAATCCCTCCTTTCGAATTTTCTGGAATAGTTTGTAGAATTGGAATTATTTCCAGTGAAGTGTTCAAGTTTTCTTTCTGACCATTCTTTTTACTACAAATATAATCTTATTAATAGATATAAGGTCATTTATAATAAGGTAATAGATACAAGATTTTTCTATTTCTTAAGTGAGCTTTGGTAGTTTGCATCTTTCAAGGAACTTGTCCATTTTACCTATTTTGTCCTACTTAGTGGAATACAGTTGTTCCTAAAACTCCCTCATTATCCTTTTCATTTCTTCAGATCCTGTAGTGATAAGATCATTCTTATTTCTAATATAATTAATTTCTGTCTTCAATCTTTTAGTTTAGATAGAAGTTTATCAATTTTATTAATCTTCTCAAGAATCAGCTTGGTTTTGTTGATTTTTCCCCGATTTGGGGAGAAATTCAAACTGATTTTGATTCTGATCTTTATAATTTCTTTTATTCTTCTTACTTTGGAGTTTGCTTGTTTTATTATTTTTTTATTTTATTGCACTTTAGATTCTGGGGTACATGTGCAGATCATGCAGGGTTGTTGCATAGGTACTTACATGGCAAGGTGGTTTGCTGCCTCCATCCCCCGTCACCTATATCTGGCATTTCTCCCCATGTTATCCATCCCCAAACTCCCCACCCCGTGCTGTCCCTCCCCTAAACCACCAACAGACCCCAGTGTGTGATGCTCCACTCCCTGTGTCCATGTATTCTCATTATGCAATACCTGCCTATGAGTGAGAACATGCAGTGTTTGATTTTCTGTTCTTGTGTCAGTTTGCTGAGAATGATGGTCTCCAGATTCATCCATGTCCCTACAAAGGACACAAACTCATCGATTTTTATGGCTGCATAGTATTCCATGGTGTATATGTATCACATTTTCCTTGTCTGGTTTATCATTGATGGGCATTTGGGTTGGTTCCAGGTCTTTGCTATTGTAAGTGCCACAATGAACATACGTGTGCATGTGTCTTTATAATAAAATGATTTATAATCCTTTGGGTATATGCCCAGTGATGGGATTGCTGGGTCAAATGGAATTTCTATTTCTAGTTCCTTGAGGAATTGCCACACTGTCTTCCACAATGGTCGAACTGATTTACACTCCCACCAACAGTATAAAAGTGTTCCTATTTCTCCACATCCTCTCCAGCATCTGTTGTCTCCAGATTTTTTGATGATCACCATACTAAATGGCATGAGATGGTATCTCAATGGGGTTTTGATTTGCATGTCTCTAATGACCAGTGATGATGAGCATTTTTTCATATGTTTGTTGGCCTCATATGTCTTCTTTTGAAAAGTGTCAGTTCACATCCTTTACTCACATTTAAATGGGCTTGTTTTTTTCCTGTAAATCTGTTTTAGTTCTTTGTAGATTCTGAATATTAGCCCTTTGTCAGATGGGTACCCTGCAAACATTTTTTCCCATTCTGTTGCTTGCTGGCTCCCTCTACTGATTGTTTCTTTGGCTGTATAGAGCTCTGGAGTTTAATTAGATCCCATTGGTCTATTTAGGCTTTTGTTGCCGTTGCTTTTGGTGTTTTAATCATGAAGTCCTTGCCTATGCCCATGTCCTGAATGGTTTTGTCTAGGTTTTCTTCTAGGGTTCTTATGTTGTTTGGTTTTGCCTAGGCTTTCT